TAGCTCCCTCTCTCAATTACTGAACCCTCCTGACGAGTGAACGGAAGGATTACTAAACTGTTCGTCTATGAAATTACAGTGTTCAAGTTGTGAATATAACATCAATCAGTTAAGCGAGAAATTTTATTTGTATTGAAGACTTGAATTCCAGCCAAGCTCAACAAGCGAATGCTCGAAATATAAGCTCCTTCTAGAATTAAAAACAACACAAAAAATACATCTTAAGCATTCAAGCATAAATAGAAATTAACAACACCTTAAACAAACACACTTCAAAATGCTTAAAGAAGTGAATGGATAATTTTTGCAAATCCTTACTCCATTCAAACGGAAAAATGAAAGATCACAGGAAAAAAATGAATAAAAGATTAATTGAATTTTACTTGTATGTCATAATTAAAAAATATTTACAAAAATGTTACTGCTATATATATATATATATATATAAATGAAAACCCAAACAGTTGATGGAGACAACGGACAACTTGCAAAAACTAAAACATTTATCCAGATAAAATCTCGAAGAAAAACAATAGTACTGAAAAAAAGCAAAAAGGTCTCAATGCAAACCTACTTAAGCAGTAAAATTCTTGAAGCCCAGATTGCCTATACAGAGAGAAAAAAACGCTTACCTGACTATGAAAGGATGGCCCTAGTTGTAACCCGAGTTTCACACTCACGCAGTTTTCCGATGACTTGAACGGAAATGAAAGTGAGGGACCATTTTTATAAAACCCGTGGACATAAATTACATAACTTAAAGCATCACGGAATTTTTTAAACAAACTAATTTCATTTAAACACTTCATATATATATATATGAATTTTTTCGAAATGCTAGGCTAAATAGGAAACATCACTTGAGGCTAAAGAAACTGTGCCATGTATCCTCATGCACAGACGTCCCCAAAGACACATGTCACAGTAGATAAAGGTGTTAGTTAGATTCAGTGACAGCACCTAAAGAGTGTGAGTTCAATACCCGGTTATGGCAGTGGAGAACTTGGAGAGGGGAATTAAGAGGAGATAACTGATAACTGACATCCATTAAACATGGCACGTGGAACTAGAACAGTCTACCCCAGTGAGCGAAATAAAGTGTTCAGTTCGACATTCCATCCACATAAAGAAGGCTGGAGCGTACAACGGCCGAAACGTTGTAATAAATATGGCGACAAAGATGAGGACAATAGTCCGAAGAATGTAAACAATGTACATAATACCTCATCTCAGAAATATAGATAGAACTATATTGCTGTTGAACAAATAAGATGCTCCATCAGAGAGCAAATAGAATATAATCCTTCTACAACTAACTCCAAACATATCCACCTTTTATATAGCAGGCAAATACAGTGTAAAAGGACGAAAATATCCTAAAAAATTGATAAATACTAGTAAAAAAAATAAAATTAATTATAGCCTACACTAAATCTAGTATATCTAATACAATGATTAGTAATGACACTTCCCCACCTACTAACGTGTTGCAAAAAACCAACATCGTCTATAAATGTAAATGTCTTCTAGGAGATCTCCAACGATAACAACAATATTTATGTTGGACACACTATAACAACATTTTCTCGGTGGCTGAGTTTTCATTTGAATTATATGGCCAACATTTGTAAACATTTACAACAACATACCTGTCTACATTCGCAATTCAGAAAAATAACATATGAAATATGATGGGGATATTCTGACCTAGTGACGGCATATCCTTAGCCCACTCTACATCTCTGGATATAAACTGTCCAAGAATAATTTGTCCATCCTGGGTATGACGATAAACTACATCCGCGTCCAGGGTAAGACGATAAACTACGCCCAACGGCAAGGCCTCTGATCAGGGGGTTTTGAGGAGCGTGGAACCAGATCTTAATTACTGGTGTTCCCAAGTCCACCCTGACCCAGGGTGGTAGCACCTGCTGGGCCCCAGCTATGGGCAAATAGTTAACCCTAAAACTGAGGTAAAAAGCATTATGAAAGTGTAAAAATCGGTTTCAGTACCAGAAATACTTTGTAAAAATATTATTACCAGAAATAAATTTCTTAAAAAAACTATTACCAGCAATACGATTTTCAAAAAAATATTAACAGCAATAATTTTTTTAAAATAATATTACCAGCTATACATTTTTGAGGAAAATATATTACCAGAAATAGATTTTTGACAAAACAAAAATATTACCAGAAAAAAATGTTGTCGGCATTAAATGACCCATTGACGTTTATATGCAGTAAAACAAATCAAACAAGCAAACAAAACCAACATAATCTATAAATTTAAATGTATTCTAGGAGATTGTATCTCCAACGGTAACAACAATATTTATGTTGAACACACTACAACAACGTTTTCTCGGTGGCTGAGTTTTCATTAGAATGATGTGGCCAACATTTTTGTAAACATTTACAACAACATACCTGTCTACATTCGCAATTCAGAAAAATTCTTGTCGAAAATACTTCTTTATTTTTCATGAAAAGAATATACATAAAAATTTCTCGAATTAAAAAAAATTAAACCAGCCCATTGTAAAATTAATTACGAATGCTGCACAAATATTTTAAAATATCTACACTAGATAGTTGAGTTTTGCACTAAAATGTTTTACGATTTATTTCGTCAAAACTCTCCACAGCCATACTTAGTTACCTCCCCTGAAGCGGTGTCAAACGATCATGTACTGTTTCGGCGTTCTTCAATCCACAAGTAAGAAATTTGACTTTCAGATGAACATAATAATTCTATCTTCGAAAATAATGATTATTACAATATTTTCCTTGCAATAAACAACACCGTGATGATGATGTGCTATGTCGAAAGTAGTCGTAATAAATAATATGTATCAACACGGTGATTTTCACTCGTCCTTCAAAACGGCACCAAAAAGATTATCCGTGAATATGAAAGGATCCTATTGAAAATAAGTAGACAAAACTTGTCTAAATTATTCAATGAAACATGTATCAATGAAAACACGTTGCCAATATATATATATATATATATATATATATATATATATATAATGAAATGGACAATTATTTTAAGACATTTTTATGTTTATACGTTATTTTTATAGATAGAAATATTTAAGTAATAAACAGTATTGATGACATTTACCGGCCTGAATGTCCGAGAAATTTTCATAAAAATATGCGTCCTCCGACAGGAATCGAACCTGTATCCTATACGGAACCCTCATATAGCCTGACGTGCTTTATCGATTAGTCACAAAGGAGTCTTTTGATTTGCTAGGTCGATTTTACTGTTTTTAAACTACAATTCTCCATGATTTTCTCTCGTACATTCATATCTGCTCGATGCGTATCCAAATGTAAACAAATGACGTCACTCATTATGAAATGGACAATTATTTTAAGTCATTTTTCATGTTTATACGTTCTTTTTATAGATACAAATATTTAAGTAAATGCTCTGCTTATAATAAACATTATTAACGACATTTACCTGTCGTAAGCATGTCTGTCTTGTGTGAATATATATATATATATAGCAAAACATCCGAGATTAACTCATGTGTGTATAGTCTATTTCAAACCCGCTCAACGTTATGCCAGACTTCTTCAGCTCTAGATTGAATGTCTTGGAATGATGGGTTTCAATTTAGTTTAGATAGCAGTCGGGGATGCCTGGTTTAGATAAGGAGCCTGGGTTGGTGACAAGTGGGGGGCGTGAGGTATCTCTCTAAGGAGAGATGGGTCGGGATGGGAGTTTGTTTATGAGCAAAGCCTTTAGTTGTATGTAAATAAACTCCTATCCCGGCCTATCTCTCCACGCCATCCCCTTGTCAAAACTCCTAGGATTAAAGAGATTACAAAGACTGAAACAAACAGTGAATAAGAGAACGCGATTTAAAGAGAGAGAAAATGATGATTGGCATTGCATTTAAATTCTTGTAGATCAAATTTGATTGGAAAGTAAGAGGCCGGAAGTGAGTTCCACATGTGAAACTAAAACTGATTATAACGGAACTTATAGTCATGTCTAGCAATTTCAGCATTGAAGTAATGAGGCTTTATTACCCCAGGTATGTATTTTTCTCTTTCTTTTTTCTCGCCAATATTAATGTAGCCTGAATATACATATGAACCTAAAATTGAAATTACTACGAGCCACTACTTTCGCCATCACCAGCTACGGATGCCAGTCGATGTCGGACGACCGTTAGTCGGATATTAAAGTATCAGCCACCACAACTAGATTGCTGCGTCATTAACTGTTATATCAAGTTCCTAACGTTTTGTACGTCGAACCTTTTTAGGACCGACTTAGTGAAATACAAGCCTCCACTGTGAAACTACTCTATAACAACTTGGCGACGAGGGATTCGTTCTCATACGGAGGAAGAAAAACTTTTCGTACTCTATAACAGGATGTGAGTCACAGGCACTGACCGAGAAGGAAAACACTTTCGATATTTGAACATACAGTGTACCCCGGATATAAGAGATCCGGATATGAGAGAAACCCGGATATAAGAGAGATTTTCTCTGGTCCCAAATTAGAGCCCATACTTACCTAAACAAAATAGACCAAACCCGGATATAAGAGAAACTCGGATATAAGAGACTTTTTTCCGGTCCCGACAACTCTCTTATATCCGGGTTACACTATATTTGCAAAGTCCTTAGAATGTCATGGACAGCGAGACGTACTAATAGTTAGGTGCTAGATACCATCAGAACAATGTTTATATTGAGAGATTTGATGGCACTAAGGAAACTCCGTTATTTCGGGTATATTATCCGACGACGTAAGGGCACTTCATGGTGGTGTAATGGTTAGCAAGCTTGTCTCTCTAGAACAATTACGACTGAGTAATGAGTTCGATTCTCACTGGGTGCCCCATACTTTCAGCCTTGTGCCACACCTAAGCTACGCATGGAAAATCAGTATCCGACGAGGTGGCTTTGCTAAGAACATACTGTTGGACCTAGTGTAGGGCAAGCAGCGCGAGGAATGACCACCCATGTCTTGGTTTGATGATATTAAGAGGCGGACTGGAATGCCCGTGGTTGAGGCTGTAAGGGCAGCATCAAACAGGAAGAGATAGAGGGAAGGGGTGACCACAGCGTCGGCTCAAAATGCGTTAACTAAATAAAGAGTTTGGATATTTTCTGGACAGACCTAGGTTATGTAAATGGTGGATTAAGTGAACGTTATGGCATTTCTTTTCTCAAAGAAATCCTTTTCATGACAACGAATTAAACAACAAGAATATACATGCGCAATTTGATTTGAGATGAAATGAGGGCGGGAAGGAAAAGAAGAGTTAGCGTTCACTGGAGGTTTAATGTACTTTTGCGTAATTGAAAGCGCGCTCCTACGCATTTTCTATTTCTGCTCTCCGATCGAGATCGGCTATCCATACTTGACCTGGTCAAAGATGTAATCGGTTTGTAATTGAATTGGAATTCTGTGGAAATAAACTCAGCGATAACAACTCCAGAAGAAGTAGACGGGAGGCTGGCAGTCGGTGGTACAAAAAATCAATTTCGGTCTGATTAGTGATATTGGGTCGTTCGTAAGTGTCAGAAGGGCCAGAGAGTAACTGATGCATTGTCAAGTTTTGCGATCGATTCGAAAAGAAATATATGAGGGAACATTCCCCCTGCATTACACTGATGTTTACAATTAAATCAATATTCTATCAATACATATATATATATATATATATATATATATATATATATATATATATATATATATATATATAAATGAAGCTAAAATATCTTTGTTCATATCTAACTTTCTATCAATTACAGTCCGTGTATCTATCTATCTATCTATCTATGTGTTCATATCTATTTATGTATCTATATATCTATCTGTGTTTTCAAATCTATCTATGTATCTATATATCTTTCTATCTATCTTTGTATAGCTATCATTTTCAGCCTGTTCATCGATCTATCTATCAAATTTTGCGATCGATTCAAAAAGAAATATTTGAGGAAATTATATATATATATATATAAATATATATATATGTGCGTGTGTGTGTGCGTGTGTGTGTGAAGTTATAAAAATATATCAGTTTGTTCATATCTATTTATCATTTTCAGTCTGTTTATCTAGATAACTAGCTATCAATTACTGTCCGTGTATCTATCTATCTATCTATCTATCTATCTATCTATCTATGTGTTCATATCTATCTATATATCTTCCGGTCTGTCTGTCTGTCTATATATTTATGTATTTATCTTTCTATCATTTTCAGTCTGTTTATCGAACTATCTATTTCAGTCAGTTTATCTATCTTTCTATAATTCTCATTCTGTTTATCTATCTATCTATCTATATATATATATATCATAACAGAAAATAATACACGGAAATAAGAACGTGCATTCGAATAAGTGAACATATATTACATAAGATAAGAGATAAGAAAATGTCCTTAGCAACAAAAGAAAGTGTTGAATTGCTATGTAATTTTGAATCTTCCATATGGAGGTGAATGTAGGTGAGGTTGAAGAAGACGCTTCAAGTGATGATGGTGTGTTTCTCCCGAAGAATACTGAAAAAAAACAATGGACAGGGAATCGGAGAAATGCCAAACATGCTAAACTTCTAACAATCAGAGGGAGAGAGAGAGAGAGAGAGAGAGAGAGAGAGAGATAGGTAGAGAGATAAAAGGAAAGTGAGAGAGAGATATAGCAGAAGTTGTGTTTGGGACAAATAATGAGGAAAGAAGGCTTGGTACAGTGAAGAACAGGGAACAAGGGAAAACTAGTGGGTAAGCTACTTATCTGCTTAAATCAACAGCAGAACAAGGGGTATAAAGACAGTGGTGGCAATTTTTTTCTGTATCTAGCTAGCTAGCTCTCTAGGTAGTATGGGCAATCTATCTAGCCAACTATTTAGCTTAGTCTGTTTATATGTATCTATCTACCGATCGACTGATCTAATTATATCAGTCTAATAATATATATATATATATATATATATATATATATATATATATATATATATATATATATATTGAACAATAAGAAAATAAAAAATTAAAATCTTTAGACACACTGGGTTTGTAGATTAATATTCTTTCGTTTTTTTTTATTATTATTCCATTTAGATTCCTCGACTAGTTTCGACCGAAATGGCCATCATCAGGAGGAGAAATATTTCTACTTGATGGTAGCACTAAACTACAGAAATGAGTCTTTTGCTGGATAAAATGAACTTTTGTCTGTAGTTTTCATTTGTTTTTTTATAATTATTTATTCAAAAATATGGTTCCAACTCGCGACATAAAAATAAATAATTATATTTATGCTCTAATTTTGTATCGAGCACTACTTTTTAAAAAATAATAACTAAAATACTAAGGAACTTTGGATTATTTACCTAACCAGTTCCTTCCTATTTTCTATATATTTTTCACATATATATATATATATATATATATATATATATACATCAGGCGGTTCTTATCAGTCTCAGTATGTCGATATCTTAGCTAGTCTGCTCGTTTCTCTATATCTGTTCATATCTATGTATCTATATTGTCCTATCTATCTATCTATCTATCTATCTATCTATCTATCTATCTATCGGTCGATATATATATATATATATAGAGAGAGAGAGAGAGAGAGATATGTATATATATATATATATATGTGTGTGTGTGTGTATGTGTGTGTGTTTCAATCTGTTCATATGTAGCTCAATATCTTCATATCTTAGTGTATGTTCGTTTCTGTCTGTCTATCTATCTATCTATCTATCTATCTATCTATCTATCTATTTGTTCATATCTATCTACCTCGCAATCTCTATTATTCCATTCATGTCTACATAATATTATTACCATATCATTTTTCTCCGCCGTCAGTTGATATCTAATATCATTTTTTCATATAAACATTTTTTTGACTATTTGTTTTGTCCTCTGTGTATCTCCTTGCGCCTAGTCAACTCTCCCTCTATCTCTCTGACTCTCGCGCCCCTTTCTCATTGTCTCTCTGCCCTGCTCTCTCCCCCTCTCTCTCAATCTCTTTCTCTCTATATCTATCTCTCTATCTCTCTCTCTCAAATCTGCCTCGACCCAAATCAAGCACATGTACGCTGTATGACCCGCCGATCCAAATTAGCAATGAACCTTGTTTGAAATTTTTTAGAAGAAAAAAAAGACGGAAAATCGATAAAATTATGTTCCAATCAATCAGGCTAACTTTAGAAAAGGTTAAACATATTACACAAACATCCCTTGATTGGAATTTAGAGTTGTTTCCAGAAAAGTCTCTGGGGATTTTTATATATATATATATTTATTTTTAAATTCTACTCAAATACTGTCTTATTTTGTCTAAGATTTTTCAATCTTTTTTCTTTAATTTCATAAAACCTTACAATTATAAATATTTTTTTTTAATTATATATATATATATATATATACTATTACTCGAATCTTACAAATCGATACAAATCAAATAATATATTCTAAACTCTCTCGCAGAGTGTTTAAGCAGTCAATATGAATCTTTTGTTATTGATCTTGAAGAGAGATTACCACACTAGTGAGTTCGATCTTAAGTTGGTATCTGACATATATGTAAGGCTCAATGGCCGCTTTTATCCGAATCTAGGACGTCCGATAAAAAAAAATTGCTATAATGATGGAACTAAGATACTCACAGCGAAGCTACTTGGCACAGATTGATCTTGACATCAGACGCGCTTACACACGTTCTCTCTCGCTTTTCATGTTTAGGAGGAATGTGTGTAGACTGTGGTCGTCTCACGACACCATAGAGTTTCTACCAGTGACCATTGCTTGTGCAGCAGTTTTTGGCTAAGTACAACATTCCCATGGTTCGACAACCACAATATTCTCCAGATTTCGCCGCTATTTCATCAAAAATCAAATCCCGCTTGAACGGAACTATATTTCAAGGAGTTCCAGGAATGCTTTCAGGAATAGAAACGACGCCAGGTGAATTGAGCAACTTCAGATGAAGATTACTTCGAAGGAGATTAAATGCCGAATGTGTTATGTGTTGTAGTTTTCTTTTTATGCTACCAGTCCCAATACTTTTTAATCATCCCTCGTACTAGATTGGCTTATGCAGGTGGCTGCAGCACTAACAACTGTTTGAGAGACAGATTAGAACTCTGAAATTTTCTGAGCTTGTTCATGTTATAGTGGAACACACCTATTCTATTGTTAATAGACTCTCCCACCTATAATAAGTAGGAGGATTAGGAGTCGCGGAGTTGATCAATCAGTCGATGTTGGGCGACCGTTAGTTGGATATTAAAGTATCAGCCACCACAACTAGATTGCTGCGTCATTACCTATTATATCAACTTCCTAACGTTTTGTACGTCGAACCTATTTTAGGGCCGACTTAGTACAAATACAAGCCTACACTGTGAAACCACTACATAACAAACTTGGCGACGAGGTATTCGGATTCATACGGAGGAAGAAAAACCTTTCGTACACTACATAACAGTTCAAGAGCTCTGGCTTGGTCAGAAGCAGTGGTGAGGCCCAGAGTTACATTTTCGAATAGCTATTGTCGAATATTAAGGGACAGAAGTCCACTTATGAAGGTACCTCTTATGGCCTCAGATATATGTTCCTCAGCACTGACAGCCTTCTATTTGCAATCCATGCTTAAATGTCTCAGATTCAGAAGATAGTCGTCTAACGTCTCTTCTTGTTTTTGCCGGCGCATCGATCGTATATGGCTGTCATAGATTTCATTTTTAGGCTTGTCATACAATTGACGCAGTCTATTGATGGTTATCTCGTAGTGTGGACAGTCAGAAATTAATTCATACACTGAAGCCCCTATAAAGTTTAGGAGCACAGTTCGTCGTTCGGGAACGTATTGTTCTATATATATATATTGTGCCTGCAATCCTTTTCAGCACTCTTCGAACTGAGTTTCAAATATCTGAGATCGCATAATTATTCCATATTTCTCAGAGACCGAGATAGTGTTACTGAAAAGTTTTTTTTTTTGTTTGTTTTTGTTTTTTTTAATAGAATTGCGTCGAATAGATTTTAATAACAGACACGGAGCAGAGTAACCCAAATTAAGTTTTATTCAACATAATACAATAGTTAGTACAAACATAACTAATTATAAACAGACACAGTCCATTTTTGATGATTAATTATATTAATTGAATTTTACTTGCATGTCATATTTAACGAAATATATATACAGGAATGTTGATGCTTCTACACACACACACACACACACACACACACACACACACACACACACATATATATATATATATATATATATATATATATATATATATATATATATATATATTACACTGTAACCGATGAAGATTTTTCCTTAACAGTCATTCACAATATTAAACTATTAGTAAATTTTTATTTTTTATTTTTTATTATTGTCGTTTATTAATAAAGTGTTAAGGGGTCCACCCCTTTGTATAGAAGTGGACTCGTCCACTGTGTACTTGTACTGCAGCCGGTGAATACCCGCGGGAGTGATACAGTGGTGCGGGTGAGAGAGTGAGAGTGTGAGGTAACCGCTTTGTAGGAGTCACAGTTACAAGGACCTAGACTCAGAAGGAAGTCATACTTCAATACTGAATTTCCCAGACTGTATATATATTATTATTGCTACTAACCGCATTTCTGGATCTACTAACCGTATTAACAATTGTATTATTACGTCCATACATTTATTTGCTATATTTCATCCCTGCGTTTGTCATTTATTTGAGACCGGTTTTCATCTCGGAATCCACAACATAAAGTATTCGGCTTATATGAAACAACTAATTTATTTGTGTAAAAGTTGAATATTTAAATTGCTAACAAGTGTTAAATATAATTTCTTTGTGGAGTTTTTATCTAAATTGCTAAAGCTATACAACCCCTCTTCTTCCTCCAATAATCTCTTGTCTCTTTACTTCCCCACATTTTTCTTTTTTCCCTTTTTCTCTTTTTCCTTTTCCCATATCATTTCCGTTGAGTTAACCGATTAAATAGGTCAATGCCTGATCCTTGCCCCCTCCTTCCTCAATCTTCAGTATTATAATAAAAAGAAATATAAAAATAAATTTTAAAACTCATCTTTCCCTCTCTAAACTCGACCATATCTCTCACACCATTCCTGACCGCCCTTTCTGTAAACTTATATAAGCTTAATACTGCCCTTGAAAAGTGTAAATTTCAAATTCATTTTTTCTTTCACCTTTTGAAAGTGGTCTGATGATCCAGAGAAAAATAAAATTATCTGGTGAAATAAATTATTACAAATGGAGCCTTAAAGTGGTTGTTTTTCTTGAAATTATATATATATATGTATATATATATATATATAGATACACCTAGTGAGCCAGACAAACCTACCTAGGTTTCACCTAAACGGATCGTCAGGGAAAGTTTGGCCAAACTTTCTCTGACGATCCGTTTAAAGTAGGTTTGTCTGGCTCTAAATATCTAGGTCTGCTCTACGGTTGTATTGAGCTCTTTTGTTAGTTAGTTGTTACTCGTATCGGGTTTTTTTTTTCTTTGGGCTTCAGACCTGCATCTGTGCGATTTTTTTTGTCGGCAGAAGTCCATGTTTGTAGCTCTTTCTTTTTTAAAACCTTTTTTTTCCCTCGAGATTGATTTGATTAGTAAATCAAAATTCGAAGGTTTTTCGAAACGAGTCTAGTTTTCTATATTTATATATATATATATATATATATATATATATATATATATATATATATATATAAAAGGCTTAAACACTAATATTCCATAGTCATAATTTATTCAATTGGAATCGTAAATACGATCCAATTCATCAGACCTACAAATACTTTCCTTCGTTCCATCTCTCTCCCCCAACTCGTCTTTCCCTCCCTCTTATTCTAACATTAATTTGTTTATGGTGTGTGTATGTCACCACGAAATGTATCTAAATGTATCTTTATGCATTAGACATCCGTCAACATTCATTTTTTTCTCTTAATTAAACCCCTCCTCCTACCTCTCCTAAAATTCCCTCCGCTAAGGTTTAATCTCCCTCCTCCTCATACTTACACTCTCTCTAAATTCTGTTTTTATTTCCGGAGTTTGTTTTTTTCTGTTTTCTTTTTGAATTTGTAGGTCTGATGAATTGGATCGTATTTACGATTCCAATGGAATAAATTATGACCATGGAATATTAGTATTTAAACCTTTTTATTTTATCCTTACTCTGTCCTAGACATTGAGTTCTACCTGGATTCTTCCTCTTGGAATTTTTTTCTGAAAATATACATGTATGGGTATTTATATATTTTGCATATGTATGTATATTTTCCACTAATATTATATATATATATATATATATATATATATGAAAAACCGAACAATTGATAGAACCAAAAGCCAACTTGCCAACACCTAAAACATTTATCCAGATAAAGTCTCGAACAAAACAATACTGAAAAAAGCAAAAAGACAAACCTACTTACCCAGTAAAGTTCTTGAAGCCTAGATTGCCTAAACAGAGAAAAGAAATGCTTACCTGACTATGAAAAAAATGCCCGTGATGGTTGCCTCTGATGGTTTAAGGTATGTAATTCATGACCACGGGTTTTATAAAGCTGGTCCCTCACTTTCATTTCCACTCAAGTCTTCAGAAAACTGCGTGAGTGTGAAACTCGGGTTACAACTAGGGCCATCCTTTCATAATCAGGTAAGCGTCTTTTTTTTCTCTGTATAGGCAATCTAGGCTTCAAGAATTTCAATGAGTAAGTGTGTTTGCCTTGAGATCTTTTTGCTTTTTTCAGCATTATTGTTTTTATTCGAGACTTTATCTGGATAAAGGTTTTAGCAAATTTGGCAAGTTGTGCGTTGTTTCCATCAACGGTTTGGGTGTTTTCAATTATATATATATATATATATATATATATATATATATATATATGTGTGTGTGTGTGTGTGTGTGTGAAAATATATAGAAAATAGGAAGGAACTGGTTAGGTAAATAATCCAAAGTCCCTTAGTATTTTAGTTATTATTTTTTAAAAATAGTGCTCGATACAAAAGTAGAGCATAAATATAATTATTTATTTAAAAATATGATTCCAAATCGCTACATAAGAGGTCTCATGTTTCAAAACAAGAGCCGAAAACTTCAATATAATCCTTTAAATTAAATTGAGTTGAAATTAAAATGGGCTCCGTTCCATCTTCAAGCGAAATTTTTGTTGGAATAACGTATATCTGAAATTTACTAGTTTTAAAAATTGAAATCGAAATCCCCATGGTAACAGTTCTTGTTTTGAAACATGAGACCTCTTATGTAGCGATTTGGAATCATATTTTTAAATAAATAATTATATATATATATATATAGATAGATAGATAGATAGATAGATAGATAGATAAACCTAGTGAGCCAGACAAACCTACCCAGGTTTCACCTAAGCCATATGTCATATTTAATGAAAGATATTTACAAAAATGTTGCTGCTCATGATACAGCCTGGGTAGGTTTGTCTGGCTCACTAGGTTTATCTAGGTCTGCTCTACGGTTGTATTGAGCTCTTTTGTTAGTTAGTTGTTTACTCGTATCGGGGTTTTTTCTTTGAGCTTCAAACCTGTATCTGTTCGACAGACTTTCATGTTTCTAGCTCTTTCTTTTTTTAAAACCTTTTTGTCCTTCGAGATTGATTTGATTATTGGCAAATCAAAAAAAATTCGAAGGTTTTTCAGAAACGAGTATAGTTACCTATATTTGTATATATATATATATATATATATATATATATATATATATATATATATATATATATAAATTCATTCACAGACAGACTGTTTCGCTGTATCATGAGCAGCAACATTTTTGTAAATATCTTTCGTTAAATATGACATACAAGTAAAATTCAATTAATCTTTTATGTATTCTTTTTCCAGTGATCTTTCATTTTTCCGTTTGAATGGAGTAAGGATTTGCAAAAATTATCCATTCTCTTCTTTAAACATTTTGAAGTGTGTTTGTTTAAGGTGTTGTTAATTTCTATTTATGCTTGAATGCATAAGATGTATTTTTTGTGTTGTTTTTAATTCTAGAAGGAGCTTTTATTTCGAGCATTCGCGTGTTGAACTTGGCTGGAATTCAAGTCTTCAATACAAATAAAATTTCTCGCTTAACTGATTGATGTTATATTTACACATTGAACACTGTAATTTCATAGACGAACAGTTTAGTAATCCTTCCGTTCACTCGTCAGGAGGGTTCAGTATCTGAGAGAAGGAGATAGAGAGCTTGTTCTTTTCCTATAATGACTGATTGTCCCCTTATCTATGAAAGCAATACCCGGTAAGATTTGAATGCAGCTTACTAGGGCGTCCAGAAAAGAAAAGAAAAACGATAACGAATGTTTTATATTCTATACGGAACGAGTAGAAACGAAAATCTTCTAGAAAATTTGAAACTGAATAATAAAATATAATCAATTGTTTATATTGGAGTATAACATTATCATGATATCATATGTAGATAGCTGTGTAAACTCGAAAGGATGTTTTGTGATCATTGTCGTTATCCCTTTAGTTTTATAGCAATGTCACTATGACTCTCTCGTACTGAAACCAAGTGAAGCGTTTTTTTTGGGGTTTTTTTGTAGTGTTATATAGCACAACACATATATTCTATTTGGCTGCTTTTGTTTTCCATAATATAGAAACTTTACCGACTACTTGTCAGTGAAGGAGAGAGTGAGAAATATGTGTGGGAGAAGAAAGTTCATTTTTTTTTTTTGCTTGATAATATCTAGTAATTTTGAGGCGCGTGCGTTCGCTGCGAACCGTAATTTTTCACTAAAATATACAGAGGGAGTGACTCGTTTTATTTAAAAAGTAATGTGTATGTGTGTGTGTGTGTGTGTGTGTGTATACTCTCCAATCGTAGCACAAAACTGCAATGACACTGTGAGTGCTGATTATCAGATTTCTAGCAGCACCTAACGATTGCATCTCGTATCAAACTCAGTTTTGCTGCCAGTGAGGAAAAAACTTAGTATTAATATAAATTGTACCACTGATTTATTAACAACGACACTCAATGTGTAATATATATATATATATATATATATATATATATATATATATATATATATATATATATATATAATTTGTTTATTTAAACAGCAATCCTTCTTTCATGCACATTTCATTGAATACGACAGACAAGATGCTTTTATTTAGTTTTTTTATACAATTTCTCATGCGATCTAATAATTTTTTCTTTTCGGATGAAAAATTATATAAAAAACTGCCCGAAAGTTCTTTTTATCCCACCGCTTTCGGCTATATAATTATCCATTTTCAAGGGTTAAATATTTTAACTCTTAAATAAGAAATAATTTGTTGCATGTGTTATAAAATGTTTTCATTTTTCAAAACACGGTCAAGATATTGTGTCCATATTCAAAGTTAATATTATGAAGTGTTGTTTTTTTGTTTTTTATTAATAAGGCTTCCATTATTTTTAGCCTTTTTGTGCATGTAAATGATGCTATTATATTAGTTTTGTCAACATGTTACGAATAGTGTCCGATAGGTCTCCATGAATATTTAAATATTATATATATATATATATATATCTGTGTGTCTGTTTGTCCGTGTGTGCGTGGGTGAGTGATTAAAGACAAAAGAAAACATTTCTTAACCGTCACCCTTTGACCTCTAGTGAATTTTACCAAGGCAAATCAGAGAACGAACCGCGTCTGCTGAGAATAATTTTTCATTTGTCTTAAATTGTTTTGTTTTTTTTTTTGTTTTTTTCAGGATTTATTTTTAGTTATTTTTGTGACGTACCGTTTCCCTGAAAGTATACCTCAGGACTTTAATGTTAAAATAAAACAGTATTTAATTACAACCGCAAATAGATACTTAACAAGAATAAAAAAGTGAAAGTCAACCAAAGATAATTAACCATTTCAGTGAATACCTCTTTAGTAGCGCGGGTCGGCTTAACGTCCAGTAAATCCTAAATCAAAACCCAAATCATCGACGCACAATGATACACACTAATTCATCTGGATAGTTCCACTCAATAATCACACCAGTCAGTAGCATGACACCGCTATTTATACAGCAGGCGGAAAACATATATTCATAAGTCCAGAGTGTTAGGCTCAAACTTCAGTGTCGTTAGTTCCTCAATTTCTTCCTATATGACAGTTGTATATGAATTCTTGCACACACACACACGCACACACACAGTGGCATATATGGCATATATATATATATATATATATATATATATATATATAAGTGAACATAGAGTCACCACTTAAAGGCGACAGTCTGTTTCATGCTAGATGCAATCTTCAGGCCTGACGATTGCATATAGCATGAAACACTGTCACTTCTAAGTGTTGACTTCTCTGTTCACTTTTATATTTACACACGCTCTATCTCTGATTGAACACCTTATCCCATAAATATAGCAAATTTTAAGACTATATTTCTTCATATATATATATATATATATATATATATATATATATATATATATATTGTCACAAGCGGAGCAAAGCTTCGAAGTAAAATCAAATTTTCTCTGATGACCCCGGCTGCTGTGTCATAAAAAAATATATTTACGTCGGATATTCTATACCCAGGTTGGCTCAGGGATGTGGTTCGGGTATAAACATGGGTTGAGACAAAATTTGGTTAACAGAAAGAAAGCAGCAAAATAAAGGTAACAACGATTTATCCAAATAAATAATGAAGATAAGACGATCGTAACAATAACAAAACAATTTCATTTGTAACTTGAGGGAAATGGATTTAAGAGTGGAGATAGTTTTGAGAAGAAAGTTATAGAGAGCGATATCTCAGACATTTCAATGTAGAATGCAATATTCTACCAAAGAAGATTATATTTTTTACTTAGCTTTCTGTCCGTTGGTTGCAATCTATCTTCTTCGTTTTGCCGAGCGTCTTCTTCTAACCTTTTTTTTTTCTTCCGCAGAGCGTTTTTAAGACAGTTTTTCTTTGTTTCCATGGATATGAACGTTTTTAAGACTCTTTTTCTTGTTTGCCATGGTTATTCTCGTCACAGTATATAAAGACATTTTCATGTTTATACTTTCTTTTTTTATAGATACAAATATTTAAGTAAATGCTCTGTTTAATAAACAGTATTAACAACATTTACCGGCCTGAAAAGGACAAAGTCCGACAATTACTTTGAGACATGTTTATGTTTATAAGTCCTTTTTATAATGTGTGACGTCATTTGTTTAAATTTCGATACGCATCGATCAGATATGAATGTATGAGAGAAAATCATGGAGAATTGTAAGTTTAAAAACAGTAAAATCGAACTTTCTTCCCGAAACGCTTCTCTATTGCTCAATCGGTAAAAGAAAGTCAGACTATATGACGGTTCCATATCGGATACAGGTCCGATACAGGTCGGAGGACGCATATTTTCTATAAAAATTTCTCGGACATTCAGGCCTACATTAAAGGAAGACGTTACAACAACCCCAATAAATTACACGACAAATGAAACCTGTCGTGTAATTTATTGGGGTTGTTGTAACGTCTTCCTTTAATATCGTTCTTATCATTCACCCCTTAACCACCTTTATCTAGAGACGAGACGCGTTAAATTTGAACAACATCCAGCCGACACACTGGGGTTAAAATAGGAAACTAAAATGATACATATGACACACTCATATCCTCTCTCCCACCTCACTTCCTCACTTCGTTAACTTTGCGTATACTTGATGAGGTCCGTAAAAACGTGTGAATTTCTTTTCATTTTTCATTTCAGCTTTTGGAAGTAAAGTCTGATGATCCAGAACCCTGTTAAAGGGGTTATGGTGAAATAGCTTATTACATGGAATCTTAACGTGGTCTGTCTTTTATTCAAACATATCTGCTCTGAATTTTACATTGAGCTCTCTGGATATCATCCTCCTCAGGTCTACTCATACGGATTACCTAAATTTTCATAAACTATATATATATATATATATATATATGTATATATATATATATATATATATACGTCCTGCTAGTCAGAAAGGAACCATTGTTATATCCGACGTGCCTTAATCGACTCACCCACGAAAAACTCTGCCGATCAATCAAGATATGAATAGCGCAAATATATCGATAAATATTATCGATATATTTGCGTGTCTTTTCTACAAATTATATATACATTGCATCTGGCCGATATATGTTTGCGATTGTGTAACTATAGATAAAATATATGCATGCATACGTGCTTGTGTATGTATATGGATACGCGCGCGTGTACGTGTGTATGCGTATGTGTATCTGTTTATGTATGTGCATCATGTGATCACATTTCAGGAAGTTTTAACTCGAGTTACTGCAGTTTTGGCAAGACGCGTCAGATTTGACGCCCTGCCAAATGCTGTCTTTTGAAATCAATCACGTTTCATTTTTTTTTTTTTTTTTTTTTTAATCTAAGACGATGCAACCATTTACTTATAACTCTACAGATTTCAATCTTCGGGCCAACATATAAGTGACGAGTCTAAGGAATATTTGCTCCTCCACTCGCTCAGAAAGTTCTCAATCTCTCAGAAATGTTGAGCACTGAAACGATCATCCTCAAACATCGCCTCAGGTGATAAGGACATCTCACCGGAATAGCTCCATCAAGACACCTACAGACTATCCTTTACAGTGAGTTCTCAATGAGAAACGACACCACACAGCCCCAAAACAAAGATTCAAAAACCATGGGAAGTCTGCCCTCCTTCAAGCAGGATTTTTTCTAACACCTGGTAAACAGAATCTGCCGACAGTTCCCAGCGACAAACCAGCTCACACAGTCCCAAAACAAAGATTCAAGACCTTCGGAAGCCTCCCCTCCTTCAGGCCGGATTTTCCCTAACGCCTGGTAAACAGAATCTGCCGACAGTTCTCATCGATAAACCAGATCATACAGCCCCAAAACAAAGATTCAAAGGCCATCGGAAGGCTTCCCTTCTTCGCCCTCGTGTCATTACTAATGGCCTGGCTAAGATTCCCTGCCTTGCAGTCCGTGGCTAGGGTCAGCCTTCGTGGCTAAAAGAAGTGCTGGAATTATAGTGAGTATATGGCTCAGAAAAGGCTGCTGCGAAAATCGCGTGAACTTTTAATGATAGGTCGGAAAATATATTTTATGGTCCTAGAATTCTCGGACGGTTTTCCGGAAGTGGTTACCCGGAGACGGACGAAATTAAGATCTCTTTTTGTCATATGAGCTATGGAAATCTAAGTGAGTTAAAGAATCCAATGAGATACGATAATCTATTTGCTTAAATATTCGTCCTTCAACCAAAAGTGTACATTTGCACATCATTCGTCCTCAACATATACCGGCCAGATACTCGTTTCTGAGCACACCCGACTTCCAGGGCAGCTAACCAGTCCCAGTCGCAGACGCCTGGTCAGACACATTTATAGTTTTTCAATAAACACAGACCCCCATCTGTCGTTTATACAGAAACAATATAGTATAGACTTTAGTTTCGTCCTTGCTACTACTGCCATATATGGTCTGGAGCCCCCGATTTTCGTCTTGCGGCCCTCGACAAAATCCAGAGACGGATATGCAATGCGATTGACCCTGATCTGGTATTTCGTTTACAGTCACTTTCTCACAGAGGTGCCGTCGCTTCCCTCTGTCTTTTCTAGAAAAACTTTCATGCTCTGACGATCTATTTTCGCTAGTTCCCAAACTGCATGAATTTAAACGTGCTACTAGGTTGGCATCTCAGTCCCACCCTTTCACTGCCGAAACTGTTAAATGTAGCCGTCACTTCTACTTTGTCTTTACAACAAATACTTTCACGGTAACTGCTCCGACAAGCTACTGTCGCACGTTCCCAATCTGCATGAATTTAAACGTTAGTAAGTTTGGCATCTCGGTCCCAACCTTTCACTGTCGATACGGTTAAATGTAACTGTCACTTCTGCTCCAATAGCTTCATGTCTCGCACTTCCTGTCTATGGAACTCCATTCCTCTTAATTGCTTCCTTGATAGCTATAATCTCCAAATATTCAAATGCACTGTCACTTGACATCTCCAGATGCGTTGATCTATTCCCCCGTCCTTCTCTTCATCCTTTCCTCTTTCGCGCCTCTTTACTCTTGATCCTGTTCTTTATAACCCCTGGCGTGCTCATGGCACTCCCGCCTTGCTTGGGGCAAAATGCTTGAAATAAAATTTCACAGAGAGAGAGAGAGAGAAAGCGGGGAGAGAGAGAGAGCATGATTTGGTACGATCAACAGTTTGAACAAGACCATGATGACGCGTGACTTTGAGCTAGCACAATAATCGACGACTTCCGAAAAAAATTAATTCAAAAGGCTTGGGTCTACTCGTAGTACGGTTTTCAGGCACTTCCAAAAGGTGACGCACGTCGAGAGCGTCTCCCCAGGCCGATATAAATCGACCATGCTTACATTAGAACTCGAGTCTCATCGTCAGAATTCTTGCCTTCTAAGCATTCAGCCACTCGCCTACATTACTATTAGTTCTAGTATTTCGTTGTTTGATTTTGGTTAGCGGCATATAAAACCTATTTGCATTATTCAATGCCGAAATCTGGATATTTTGAACACAATTTTATGGCTTTAACTACTGATAAAATTTATTGTCGGTAATTCTACTATAAATAGTTATTGCTGCTAATTGATGTAATGAATACACCTGGGTTCCCCCTCACAGTAATATGATTGGTTGGTGTCAGCCATAAATACAGACTGATGCGGACGACGCCTATTAACTACACCTATTGCCTACGCCTATTGCCTACCACTACGACGAGAACCAGTCCATTACGGTTACCTGCTAGATTGTCCTACTCGGTTACAGTAGTCAATAACCACTTTGCTACTTCGAACAAATATATCTCTTTCCGGGACATATCAGTAATTTTACTATGAATAGGTATTGTTACTAATTTTTATATATAAAATTGTCAGTAATTTTTATTATCAGTAGTTTTACTATAAAATATATTTTTATACTCTCATAGTGTTCTGTTTTGTTTTGGTTGTTCATTATTTGCCCATAGCTGAGACCCTAACAGATGCTAACACCCCGGCCCAGAGTGGCCCTGGGAAAAACAGCAAATAAGAGGTGGTTACACGTTCCTCAAAACCTCCTATCTCCCGATATATGCTGCTGGATGTTGTTTATCGTCATACTCAGGACTGTATTCTAATATTGATGTTAGCATATTTAGTATAATATATTATTTTATAATTTCGCTTTAAATTTTTTTTAGAAGTTCCTAATTTCTTATTAGATATAATTTCATTTCAAACATGTCAACCAGTCAGGTTCACGGGGTGGGTGTGAATGTTTTGTGTTAGTGGTTGCCAGGAACGCCCTTTCTGTCATTGTGGTTCGAAGTTATTCTTTTATAAAAAAAAACTAATTAAATATAGAGATATTTTTTCTATTCGTCTGAGTCGAATAAAGGACAAGCTTTCCTAAGATCAAAGCATACTTAAACCCTCCCATACCTGATCAGGAATTATTTGTTTGGTTACTTGTTCGCCGCTTTATATACAATTTCTCGGTCGAAACCCCGAGGTGTACCTTAGTCACTAACCGATATTATATGCATTTCATTCGACCACGTGTATCACTTACTTGATGAACATAACCGGCAACGTTGTGGAATGTATTTCAATAACTGCAGTGTATTCATGAGTTCTCTGATTTTCTTTCTTATCACAATGTCGTGCCATTTTCATTTCGTCTTTTCATTCGAAGAAGCCTACTTGTTCAATTACATTTTTTCCAAGGCTATCAATTCTTTGTGTTTTGTTTTAAAAAGCAATAAACAATTTTCAATTGACGATATCTTTTCTGCTTAATTTTCTTTTATTTCTTCATTTCCAATTTGCATTTGCGTAGGTCTGACAGATATGAAATTAGCACTCGCAATGTCCAATAAACAAATAAAAAGGCGAACACTTTGAAATTGTCTAATCCCGAGGGGGAAAAACACGATACTTCTTCTACTGTGTGCGTGTGTCTGTGTTTGTGTCTCATTGTGCGCACGCGCGCATGCGCTGTTTGTTTATTTTCTTACGCTGTCTTATTGTCTTTGACTGTATGTTTGAGTGTATGCGCACGCGCATGCGCAGTTTGTCTTATTGTCTTTTTGTCCATGTGAAATTGGACTCGTATTTTGTTTTGTCAGTACTGTTTTGCTTTCATTTGTGTATCAAAACGTTTGATTGTTTCGTTGTTTATATCAGCAAATCCATTTGCATTTACGCTTTTAATTTAGCTAAATTTTAAGGTTTGAGCTGCAGATTGTCGGCGCATTCCCAGCTGCCGCGTGCAGCCCATTAACTTTTTTTCCCTGCTATGCATACGTCTTTATGAAAAAATTTTACTCCCTGCTGCTGACGTATATATACGTTTACCAAACGGATTTATATTTTACTTGCTGGCCGACGCGAACAGAATCTGACACAAGATATGTTTAATATGATGAGCCCGAGTGCGTGCACCCGGGCCAAAACTATCCCAGACCCTGCAAGTGTTGGTTGTGCTGCCATCGGTATTACTAGAGACCGGGCACTTTTAAATAATAATTTAAGTTGCGCTCTATTCGCAGTTGCTTTCTGTTCGAAGGAAGTGACACAATTGAGAGATAAAATGCAGTTTATCCGCCTGAGAGCAGGTACTACACTTTGATCCAAGCTGGAATGCCGACGTACTTATACATATTAAAAAAAAACTTACATTGACTGCTGTTAACCTACACTTTTTCAAATAAAAATAACGAAGGATTACCCCATCAATACTCGAAATACTGATAACAGCTACTGGACTTGAGAAACATATTTTTCTGAAAAAAATCTTTTAAATCTGTCTATATTTCTGAGATGAGATATTAGGTTCATTATTTACATTCTTCGGACTATTGCCCTCATCTTTGTTACAACGTTTCGGCCGTTGTACGCTCCGGCCTTCTTCAGGTGGTTGGAATGTCGAACTGAACCCTTTATTTCGCTCACTGGGGTAGACTGTTCTAGATCCACATGTCATGTTTAATGGATGTCAGTTATCAGTTATCTCCTGTCAATTCACCTCTTCAAGTTCTCCACCGTCTTAAACGGGTATTGAACTCACACTCTTTGGGTCCTGTCACTGGATATAACTAACGCTTTTATCTACTGTGACATGTGTCCTTGGGGACGTCTGTGCATGAAGATACATGGCACAGTTTCTTTAACCTCAAGTGATGTTTCCGATTTAGCCTAGTATTTCGGAAAAATATATATATATATATATATATATATATATATATATATATATATATATATATATATATATATATATATATATATATATATATATATATATATATATAGTCTGTTTAAAAAATTCCCGTGATGCGTTAAGTTATGTAATTTATGACCACGGGTTTTATAAAGCTTGTCCCCCACTTTCATTTCAAGTCATCGGTCATATTTCGCTCACTGGGGAAAACTGTTCTAGTTCCACGTGCCATGTTTAATGGATGTTAGTCATCAGTTATCTCCTGTTAATTTTCCCTCTGAAAGTTCTCCCTGCCTTAGCCGGATATTGAACTCACACTCTTTGGGTCTTATCATTGGATCTACCTAACGCCTTTATCCACTGTGCCATGTGTCCTTGGGAAGATTTTACAAATTTTAACCGAAAGCACGACTGGCTGTTCGGTCAATGAATGTGTTTGGACGGACGTCACAACAAGGAAGCTAACTCTCTCTCTCTCTCTCTCTCTCTCTCTCTCTCTCTCTCTCTCTCTCTCTCTCTCTCTCTCTCTCTCTAGATGGGAATCAAGTTATGCGACTTGATCACAACAGAGAAGAAAATGGATTTCAAGATGGTGAGCACGCATTCACTCATGTTCCCTGTCAAGAACTATTATTCTGCCAGTAATTCGCTGGTCATGTTCTACATCTATTGTTATCCAATAGTGAATAAAACGCATAAAGGTTCGAATTATATGTTCGTTCTTATTTGACATTAAAAAAACACACACACACACTCAGCGCCACAAAAGAATGCCAAATGTTTCCCCTGTAGGGTACCAGCTAATATTGCCATTACCATTACACTATGTATGTTATCAGAATATATGTATCTTTACTAAATTTACGCTGCATGCATCTGGACACCAGTGTTTGTGTTATAAACTAACTTGTATTTAGTTCTATTTCTATGTCATTGAAGACATATAGCATCGTACAGTAGAATATGTTTTCTGAAGTATCTTCATTATATTCTGTGCTGGTAGCTTCATCACCGATCGGACCCTCATCTATCACTAATCACGATGAATGGATGTCTCCACAAGGAAGCACCGCACTTGAAGCGCCTACTGGACCTTAAACCCAACCCAGAACTCAAATGATACTCTTACATACGGTCCATCGCAACAGATACTGGCTAGAATGGTCAGTTCACTGTACGGATCCAAGTTCCTGACTTCTTTATCTTTACAAGAACCAGATCAGGCTTAAAATGGAGTACTGCTGCCATATATGGGCAGTAGCTGCCTAGTCTTCATTTCTGGTTTCGACAGAGTTCATTTTCGCGTCCTTGTGGGTAACAAATTATTTTCCGACCTTCAACCCTTTTCTCACAGACGAATAAAAATGAAAATAACACTGACATCCCAATTTAACAAAATTGCACAAAAATATCTTGAAATACTAGAAAGTAAATTTCTTTTATAAAATTGCCATTAGCTTCAACAACGGTCTCTAACGACTTCAGAATCTTCTGCATCTCTTCTAGATGGTCTCCTTGTTTAAGTTGGTGAATGCTGTCATAATCCTTGCCTTCAGTTCATCTTTGGCGTTACAAGAAATTTTGTTGGTCTCTCGATCAACTGCGTCCTACGCATAATAATCAAGGCGATTGTAATCTGGGAAGTTAGGTGGTCAAATACAAGGGGTGATGTGATTGCAGAAATTGTCTGATAACCATGACTGGATTCTCCTGCTTTGTAGCATGGCGCAGAGTCCTGTTGCTAGACATAATGTCTTCCAGCAGCCACCCTCTTGACTCAGGACAGCACTACCTCTTGAAGGCACTTGATGTAGGCATCTTTTGAATCTTATCCCCTGTGGAAAGATGTATGGGGGCATAACGTCGCCATCATACCAAACAAACTTCATAATCACCAATAGACTAGTGCAACTCCTTAAGAATTTTCTGGGCAGTCCTCAGGTTGACACCCAAACCCTCTGAAATATGCGATTTCCAAATTTACGGCGTAGTGAATTTCGTCATGGTGCTCTTTTTTCTCACAAACGCTGCCCAGCTGACCCTACTATACTGTGTAGTTGATAAAATCAAAAGCAAACGACGCGCATACGGGAAATTAGAAATATAATATGCCGACAATTTACCCATCGCACCCTGTATAGCATATTATATCCTATTCTCTCATATATGTGTGTGTATGTATTTATAGATACTGTATATAAATATATATGTCTTTGTGCATATATGTATACATATATATATATATATATATATATGTGTGTGTGTGTGTGTGTGTGTGTGTGTGTGTGTGTGTGTAGAAAAATAGTTTTAAGGTATGCTATATTTAATGGGATAAAGTGCTCAATATCAGTGATAGCCCCTATGTAAATATAAATATAAAAGTGAACATGGAAGTCAACACTTAGAAGTGACAGGCGGCCTGATGATTGCATCCAGCATGAAACAGCCTGTCGCCTCTGAGTGTTGACTTTAATGTTCTTAATTTTTATTTATTTATTTATTTATTTGGATTAATTTATTTTACTTCTATTTTCTTTTCTTTTTTTTTAATTTATATAGTTTTGTTAAATTTTTTGCGGTTTTCGACTTTGTAAATAACGGAGTAAAAATTTTGAGATTAAATATTACATGGGGAGAAGAGGTGTTTTATTTTACTGCGAAGATAATAATGGTTTTAGTTATACAAATACTACCAATTAACCCTTAGATAGAGGGAGTTGACTTAGATTCATACCTTCCCAATCGTATTTGCGAGTAATGGTATTTGTCCATAGCTGGGATTGTAACAGGTGCTACCACTCCAGGTCAGTGGACCTGGGAACAAAAACAATTAAGAGGCGGTTCCACTCCCCTCTAAACCTCCTGATCAGAGGCCTTGCTGCCGTGTGTAAGTTATCTTCATACCCAGGACGATTGCGTGTAAGTGAATATAACAAATCCATTACAATACCTGTCCACCCAGCCTTACAAATGCTAGTATTCTAAAGCGGTCACCCATATAGGTACTGACCAGACTCGACGTTGCTTAACTTTGATCTTCGTACGGAAATTGGTGATTAACTTGAAGTGGCCGTAAGCAGACATTCATATGAATATTACGATCTGACGATGCTATTCAAGAATATCACTCGAGTTTTTAGGTTAATATTTTGGATTTGTAGCAACGTGCGGTGTTGTGGGAAACTACTCCAACACAATATATTCTATGATCAATTTCCTAATCTTGTATACTCAATTTTATGTAAATAATATATACATCGTGGTATTTGAATTGTTTAGTTAACCCTAGAACACTAACCATGGGTATATAGTACCCAGCGCAAATTTTCCTATTTTTAATTACAATTTTCAGTACCTGATTTTCTTACCTAAATAATGTTTTTCAGTTTCTATTAATGTTAATTCAAACAAAGTTTGAAGTGTCTGCATGTAAAATATTTCAAATAAAGATTTATATTTAATATTTTTTTGATATTTTCAAAATCGGGTATGATATACCCATGGTTAGTAGTGGTGTAACTTTAATTGATGGTTAGTGGTCTAGAGTTAATATTAAATTACACATTCCCAATTTTTTTATGATAGATTCAGAGAAGGTGCCATCGCTGCTTTCGTTACAATTCCAGAAACTAAGTAATCTTTAAAGAACAACCCTAAAAACGTTTATATATAAGAATTACCTTCTCATTCTTTCTTTTTTTTCTTTTTTTTTTTTTAGGAAAGCCTAAAAACCAGTAAGGATGCGAATTCAGAATATTTATCTATAATATATCATCATATAATGGATAATGTATCACATTCAAAAATTTAAATGCAACGTCAATCGCCATCTTCTATCTGCCAGAATCCTGTTCATCCTTTATCCTTTCCTCAATCCACCCCCTATATCCAGTCATTTCTCTCACTTTCTCTCTCTCTAAACCCCCTCCGTACTACTAGCATTCCCATCTTACTTACTTGAATGTTCACTTTGATATATATATATATATATATATATATATATATATATATATATATATATATATATATGAAAATTTCTCAGAGTTAACCTGTAGAAAAGATAAACATATACGAAAAACAACGAACTTATCTGTCGTCATAAAAGTTCTTTTTCACTAATGTCTCTTATATCTACTTTTCCTTCTTTTTTTTTTTCCTTTTCTTTCTATTTCTTTTTTATTAGAAGAGATTCTTTTCGAGGTCTTTTCGTTCGTTCTTTCTTTCTTTCTTTCTTTCTTTCTTTCTTTCATTCTTTCTTTCTTTTCGTCTCGTCTAGGGTGAAGAATAAGTTGAAGCTGACTTCCCCCCTCTCCTCTTCGTCTCGATGTAGCAACATTCTTTCTTTCTTTCTTTCTTTTTCCTCTAAGTATCTCTTTTTGAGATCTTTTCTCTCTTTCTTTCTTTTTCTTTTTCCATTTCTTTCTATTTCTTTTTGTATTCGAAGTGTTTCTTTTCGAGGTCTTTTCTTTCTTTCTTTCTTTTTTCTTTCTTTCTTTCTTTCTTTCTTTCTTTCTTTCTTTCTTTCTTTCTTTTCGTCTTGTCTAGGAGCTTGAGTGACCCCCACCCGATGTAGCAACACTCTTCTTTCTTTCTTTCTTTCTTTCTTTCTTTCTTTCTTTTCTTTCTTTCTTTCTTCTCTTCTCTTCTAAGTATCTTTTTTGAGATCTTTTCTCTCTTTCTTTTTCTTTTTCCTTTTCTTTCTATTTCTTTTTGTATTAGAAGAGTTTCTTCTCGAGGTCTTTTCTTTCTTTCTTTCTTCCTTTTCGTCTTGTCTAGGGGCTTGAGTGACCCCCTTCGTCTCGATGTAACAACTTTCTTTTTCTTTCTTTCTTTCTTTTTGAGATCTTTCTTTTTTTTTCTTTTCCTATAAGCCTCTGGTCTAGGGGTTCGGGTGACGGATAAATCGAAGCTATATTCTCTCTATCTCTCTTTCATCCCTATGTAGTGGCATTCAGGCATAGGTTGTTTTCCACAATCCAAATATTTCTTTCGCGTTCATCGTACTTGCGGTCGGTCGTTTGTTCGGTTCGAAGATGGACTTTTTCCTTTTTTCGCATAACCAACCAAAACTTTCGCATTTATAGCAAACGCGTCCATCCATTCCATTCGAAGACGGCCTCACTTTCGCATACCATCAGAAGACTTTCGCATTTATAGCAAAAGCGACCTTCTAGCCCGAAGACATGCACAGGACTGACTTTTTCGCAGACGCGTCCTTCCGGCCTGAAGGCATGGACAAGACTGACTTTTTTGCTTCACTATTCGTTTATTTCTCTTCTTGTCACGTGGTACTAATTTTCAAATACGAACCCTGTGAGTGAAATGAGGTCGTTGACTCTTTCTCTCGACCCTCGGAATCACAGAGAATTTAAAGAGTTTCAATTTTCTATCTGGAATCCATCCGGCTAAGTCATGCTGTCAACACATGACCAAAAGAGAAAGAAAGTGTACATTCTGGTTAATCTCCATCGACACTAATTCCACCTTATCTCTTTGGATTTCCTATATTTGCGTTTTCTGAAAGTACTGGGCTCT